TTCCATTCCAGTCAAACAGGTTGACCCATTGTTAGACATTCAAATCACTCCAGCTTCTGTTGCTAAAGTCATATCTCAATTAAACTCGTCTACAGCTTGTGGTCCAGACAACATTCCTGTCACAGTCTTGCAGAATTGTTCTCCAGAACTTTCTTCAATTCTCTCTAAACTATTTAACAAGTGTTTGACTGAGTCTTGTTTTCCTGCTTGTTGGAAAATGGCATCTGTGGTTTCAATATTCAAAAACTCTGGAGAAAATTCTGACCCCTCCAATTATCGTCCGATCAGTCTTCTTTCTGTTATTAGCAAGGTCTTTGAGTCTTTGATCAACAAATTCCTCACATCTCATCTTGAGTCAAATAAACTGCTGTCAGACAATCAATACGGTTTTCGATCCTCTCGCTCTACGGCCGACTTGCTAACTGCTGTAACTGAAAGATTTTATCGAGCATTAGATGGAGGCGGTGAAGCTAGGGCTATTGCTCTCGACATATCTAAAGCTTTCGACAAAGTATGGCATGCTGGTCTTCTCCATAAGCTTGCTTCATATGGTGTTTCTGGGAAAGTTCTTGAGATTATCAAATCATTTCTTTCTAACCGGTTTATTAAAGTCATCCTTGAAGGCCAACACTCTTCTTTATTTCCAGTAACTTCTGGGGTTCCCCAAGGTTCCATCCTGGGCCCTGTTTTGTTTCTTATCTACATAAACGATCTTCCTTACATCCTTTCATCTAAAGAAGCTCTTTTTGCTGATGACTCAACTTTATACTCCTGTCTTGACAAAAAGTCTTCTCTTTTCGATCGCCTAGAACAAGCAGCTGATCTTGAATCTGATCTCACTTCAGTAATAGATTGGGGTTCACAGTGGCTTGTGAATTTCAACTCTAAAAAAACCCAATTGCTTACTGCAAACAACTACTGTAATATGGTCAACATTCCTAAATTAATGAATGGCAATCCTCTTACTGAGTCCTCCTCTTTACGTCTTCTTGGATTATCGCTTACTACTGACCTTTCATGGAAACCATATATACAATCGATTGCTAAATTAGCTTCTGCTAAGGTTGCTTCTCTTTATCGTGCTCGCCATTTCCTTACTTCTGATTCCATTCTCTACCTCTACAAATCTCTTATTCGTCCCTGTATGGAATACTGTTGTCATATTTGGGCTGGTTCTTCTAGCGATTCACTTTCTCTTCTTGACAAGGTCCAAAAACGCATTGTAAATGTTGTTGGACCTGGACTATCTGCTAAGCTTGAACCTCTTTCCCATCGTCGTAAAGTTGCATCTCTTTCTCTTTTCTACAGATACTATCATGGTCACTGCTCAAAGGAGTTATCATCTCTAGTTCCATCAACTAAAATTCATTCTCGTTTTACTCGTCATTCAGCTAAGTCTCATTCGTTTACTGTATCTGTTCCTGCATGCTCTAAAAACTTTTATTCATCTAGTTTTTTTCCCCGCACTTCAATCCTTTGGAACTCTTTCCCATCTTCATGTTTTCCTGACTCATACAACCTTCAACTTTTCAAGTCTTCTGTCAACCGTTTCCTTGCTCTATAACTCTGTTCTTTTTTTTTCCTAGTAACTCCCAACTTAATAGTGGTTGCTTGCAGCCTTGTTGGGAGTGAATGCAAATAAACAAAAAAACAAAAAAAAAACAACATGAAAATGAATCTTAGTAGATGGTACAAGAGATGCTAGCTCTTTAGTGCAGCAACCGTTAGAGATTTAAAAGTAAAAGTTAATCCTAGAAGACGAAGGGTAGAAAACTCATCAGGTTCATTACTGTTCATAAATAAAGGAAGATCTAGATTATTGTGATAACAACTAGCTGAAAAAAGTTTTATCTGAGTTAAAGTTCACCAGCCTCATAATGTAGCAAAAGTGTGATCCTTTTCAAGCTCAAATACTCCCTCTGTGCAAACAGAGAGTGTTGGCTTCTTATCAAGACAAAAACAAATAGTAGTATCATCAGCAAACAATGCCATCTTACAGCAAGAATTTCAGGAAGATTGATAAAGTAAATTTAAAAAAGTATAGGCCCAAGGATAGGACCTTGAGGAACCCCTAAAGTTACAGGAAATGAAGAAGAGTGCTGCCCACCGAGGACAAATCACTTTAGATACAGTAGCTGGAGTGATCAAATGTCAAGCAATAGACCAACCTGTTTGTTTCAGCTATATCAGGTAGGATGTGATAAGAGGAAACAAGTGATGATATTGATGAAAAGTTCTTAGTAAACAATTTAGCTTTGTCTTTAGGAGAGATAAAAAAATCTGAACCATGCAAGAGAGGCGGAATAAAAGATTTACCCTTATAGTAGCCACTGTTAAAGATTCTTCAGAAGTTTTGGGAGCCTAATTTTTGAGATGAAATATGAGACTTCTTGACCTGAGAATAGCGGGCTTTGGCATTAGACAAAACCTTTTTACAATGATCTAGTAATAGTAAACAGACGCCTGTTTTCTGGAGAATTGTTTTCGAGATAGATATGGAAGTATAAGTTATGATTGGAAATTACAGCAGCACAATGAGAAGAAAACCATGGAGAAGAGTGAGGCTTACTCAAAATTGACTAAAGAAGAAATAAAAAATTCCATGCCAGTCTGAATTCAAGAGGTTACATAAGAAGCACAAAGACAAAAGATTTCTATCTAAGGGTCATTACAAAGAAAATCTTACAAATGTAAGATTTTCTTTGGCCCAGGCCAAGCATGTGACTATTGGAGTCTTTACGAATTAAACAAAGAATCAACACTAAAATCACAAGATGAGATTATGGAGATGAAATTAGTCTCACAAATTGCAATTAGACCTGGTGAATGTTGCAAGAAAAAAGACTCAACAGAAAAAGTTTACTTTGAAGACCATGAATATTAGTGAATGACAGATTAAGAGAACTTTGGACATTTTGTGTTTTATAGTCTTGGTAATTAAGTCATTTTTGGATGACTTAATTAAAAGCACAGATAGTACTCAGTACAATATCTAATAGTCCAAGCAATTGCCTCATTACTATTGAAAAATCCTAAACCATAACAAAGGACTCCAAATGTCATCTCGACAATACACACCAAAAGTACAAACAGGAACAGTATCCACGCGCAATATCTGTTTGCTTTTTTTCTCAAGTCTTCGTCTAAAAAACCTTCTACAAGGCAGTAGCTGGATGCATTTAATATCTGTCTAAGATGAGTATTTTTATCAAGACATCATCTCTAGCTTTTACTCAACCAAGAGTCACAAGGAAGGGGGTGTGTTAACCCCTTTCGCATAGAGTATCGCATATGATACAATTTATAATAAAGGATAGCATGGTTAGACGAACTATGATTTCGATAATATATTTTAATGGTATTTCTTAATAATAATTTATTTCCATGTTTAACCATAAAAATTCTCAATTATCTTGTTACATAGACAATATTTTCTTTATAAATTATTAAAATGGAGGCTATAATATTCATAATATGTTCATAGAGTCTAGAAAACTAAGATTATAAAAATAAAATGGAAATATCCATGCATGGAAATATCTCTATTTGTTAAAAAAAGTTAGTTTAGAGTTTTCTCAAACTTGTAACCATATGTAATTTTGTTATATATAATTGTATCAGATATGATACAGCATACATTAAAAGTTTGTTTATGTAAACATAATTTTATTTATTATTATGCGTATTTGATGAAAATAATAGTTTGTTTTGCATTTTTAGCAGTAACTACTGATTCATTTTATGGAAAATATTCTACTCGTATGGTCATGCCGACGACACAAGTCTTATATATCTAGAATTTTCTCAATAATAAAAAAAAAGGTCCTTTAAAAAAAAGGTGTGTGTGGTGGTGGTGATGGGGGAGGGGGAGGGAATGTGGTTTTGTGCTCCCGTCTTCCCCCCAGTGTTATCAGCTCTGATTGTTAGGTCAACAAACTATGCTTGAATATCTGTAGATAGAAGTTCTGATTAATGACTATCATCTAATGACAACTCATAAGCGACAGACTTTAATGTAAAAAAAAAAACCAAATGAAATGTATGAATCAAGCAGTGAATCTGAAGAAGAGAGAGGTAGGGAATCCGAACATAGTGACACTGAATCTGTTATGCCTATTAATTTTTTAATGAAGAAAGAGGACCCAAACATCATGTCTCATATTTGTGTACAAAATGATGCTGTTGGGCATTGGCCAATTAACATATGTAATATGTGAAAAATGAAATGTTGGACTTTGTCTGAACAAAGAAAAGAATTGTTTTAAAATGATTCATGTCTTATTATTCATTGCTCTCATGCATAATATTTTGTTTATATAGTTATTTTATTGAAATAAAACTTTTCTGCCAAGTTTTGTTTTATAATAATATGATGTTGTACTATTTATGCATACTGTATCATATATGGTACAATTTTAAAAATCATGAAAATCCATATTTAGGAGAAAGATTTTCTTTTCACATCAGCAAATATTATTTTTACTACATAAAATGCACATAAAAACAAAACAAAAAAAAATCACGCAGAAAGGGAAAGTCAGAGTTGGCTTCTCTTAGCCTTTGCCTAAAAAAGTGTATCCTACAAAGCAGCAGGACATGAAGCAGGTACTAGGTTACATGTTACCAGTAGCAAAATAATCTGACCTGACAAAAATATTAATTAACAAATAAACTAAAAATGATATAAAAAATTAAAATATATTATTCTAATAATATAAAACAATTAAACTTAATGTAGTTATAGTTATATCTTTACCATATTGCGCAAAATCTTTACTATATTGCACAATATCTTTACCATATTGTAGAAAATGTGCAAAATATATACTATATTGTGTAAAATATTTACCATATTTTGAAGATCGCAAATTTTTTATCATAATGCACACATTTTTTGCAGAAAAACAGTGTTTTTTTTTGTTTTTTTTGGGTTTTACAATTGTTACTAATTTTGCATTTGATTTGTGGACTAGATTTGTAAAAAAAAAAACCTTACTAACCGAGCTTGTAGATCAGCATCTTCATCAGCTGTTACAGGCTGTTGATGTTGTGACTTTTGACCATTTGGAAGTTTACCACCAGCTGAAGGAAGTTCAGATAACTAGAAAAAGATATTAATATAAAACAAAAATTTAACATGAACAATAAAAAAAAGAGAAAAAGTAAACACTTATATTTGATTCTAACAACAAAGAAAAAAATATTTTTAACAGTTTTTAAGAACAACAAAGTGCTATATATTTTTAAGAACAGTTTAATAACAATCATTTTAAATTTCAAGATACAACCCCACCATATCTGGTAATTCTTTTCTCTGAAAACAAAGAAAGTTTTCTCAACTTGCCTTATTTCATGATTTTGAGACATGTACCAGAAAAGTATTTTTTTTTCATTTTCTGGTTCAAAGTCCTGGTGTATCGAACAAAACAATTTCTAAAAAGTTGTAGATTGCTTTGAGAACAGCGCAGAGCATTGCAAAAGGATTAAAGAACACTGGTACAATCAAAAGGAAATCAGGAAATGAAAGATGTTTTTATTCAATGAGGTCTTGTTAAAAAAGTGAAAGATGCCATTCACTTTTTTAACAAGACAGAAATCCTGAGATTTCGAACTTTAAATAAATTTAAGTGCTTCTATTATACAAAGAGTGAAAAGAAATTGTGGCTTTTCTTTTTATAAGATTTATATTTTATAAAAAGGAAAGAGTTCCTTAGAAAAAATGCAAAAAAATATTACAACTTCTTGTTCAAAGTTGCTAAATAAAAAAATATGTGCTAAAAAACCTTATTTGATTATTGATGATAAAATTTATTCTGCTGCATATTTCTCTTCCAGGACACCAAATATTATTTAGCAATTAATTGCAAGAAGCGGATTTTCAAATATAAATGCAATTGAATACAATAAGCATCTTTTACCATTTTTAAGATCTCATACAGTTAATCTGTTACTTTTGGCCCAATTTAGCATTATATTACTACTCTGAACAACTCAAAACTGGCTTAGAAAACATAAATTAGATTTAAATGAAAAACATTGCAATCCAAAAAATTGTCCTGAATTACATCCTATCAAAAAATATTGGTCATTGTCAAAGGAAAACTGAGGTTCAATGAAAAAAAAGCTAAAAACATTCAAGACTTTAAAAATAAATGGATTAGAGCCACTAAGAGAATCCAGCCGAAGACCATGCAAAAGCTGATGTTGAGTGTAAAACGCAAAGTGTGTGCGTTTTTAAGTACACCATTTCACAAACTTATCTAAGTGAAATTGAAATATTAATACATGTATTTTGAAAATATATATAACATTCAATACCCAAATACAATAGTTGAATAAATATTTGTTAAAATATCCATACAGATTTTTTCTGGTGCATGTAAAAGTCATTATGTTGAAAAAAAAATATTTTCTATAGTAACAGAAATTAAGATAGAATAGAGCTGAATTACCTGATCAGTAAGCCCAAGCCCGAGCTCATCAAGCACTTGAGATACAATAGCATCACTATGATATAAAAAAATTATTTGTCAGATTTGTTTTACATTTGTTAAAATCTTATTGTAAATATTTTTGTATGATACTGAATTCTACTGTTATGTAAAAACTTACAAAACTAAGAAAAAAGCATAATAACTAAAGATTTATAACAATATAACATTAACAAAAAAGTTATACTCATATCAAAATCAATTTTAAAAAGTTACCTTTCTTCATCATCTTCTTCATCACCAATTGCATCATCAATGGCATCATTCATCATTTCTTCTTTCATATCCATAATTTCACTCTAAATATAATCAAAGGTATTTGCAGAAACATGTATAACAGAACACTTTTTTTAAATAAGTAACTTTTTAAATCTTATAGCGAATATTTTATGAGACGAGTAAAAATGTATCAAACATAAAAAAATTTAAATATTAACAAAACTTTTTACAGGTTTTTATAATCATTATTGGTTGTTTTTCTAATATTTGTTATGTTACTTCAATGTCACTTATTATTGGTTGTTTTTCTAATATTTGTTATGTTTCTTCAATGTCACTTATTATTTGATATCTGATCAATCTTAATCATCAATATTGTGCTTTGAGTTTTCACATAAATCAAACTATTATTTTAATATCTAATGCTGTGCTATCATTTGTAAAAAAAATTTTCACAAAAATCAAACTATTATTTTAATACAATAACAAATACTCAATTTTGAAAAAATTTAATTTTCATTTTCTAAAATTAATATAAAATACCTGTTTTTCAAACTCCATCATAATTTTTTGTATTTGTGGTAACTTCATATTTTTATTCATTGAAGCCATTGTCTGCAAATAAAATATAATAAAACTTTAAATGGTTTTTAAACATCTAAAGTCAATTGAGTTTTTCTTTCATCTTTCAGAGTAATAAACAAAAATAATTAACTATTTAAAAAATGATCGAAGATTTGATGTTGACAGAATCAATAATAAGTATAAATTTAAATCAGTTAAGTTTAAAAAATTTCTAAAAATTAATTATGTAGCATAAAAAAATGTATGTGTAATAATTATGTATGTTTCTTTATATTAAGTAAAGGATGGCGAAATTCCTCACATTATGGAAGCAAGTTCCAAAAAGGATATTGCATATGTCCTAAAATGATTGAAACCATTTTTTTTTTTAATGTTTTCTTCTAAAAAAAATATTCACTTTAAGATTCATTTTATTCTTTTAAGATATATTTTTGTTAATTTAGTTTTGGCACTAGCAACCATAGATCAGTCCAATTATTCTAAAAGTACAAATTATTTCAACCAGTGTGGATGAAAACAACTTTGCTAGTAGAATTTTATTAGGTTTATAAACATGGATTTATCATTCATTTTTACATTTATTTAATTAAATTAGGCCTAATTTAATTAATATTTTTTATCTTAGGTCTTTAATAAATTAGGACATAGATTTATCTTGTGTTTTCTAAGTTGACAATTATTGAAGTTAAATCTATAAACAATTCCAACATTTTATGCAAATGCAAATTTAAGTTATTTTCTAATTTAGTTATTCAATACCAAAAGGTATTTTGTCATATTTATCAATTTGTACAATTTATTGTAACAAAAAGAAAAAACCACTATCCAAGATATATGATACAAATTTTAAACAGCATTTTTAAGGTAAAAATGGTTCATTATTAAAAAGATTTAAAACCAAACTGCATGTAAAAAATAAACAAGTAGTTGCAAACAAGCCTAAATTAATTAACAATTGAAAATAAAGCTTAAACTAGTTGAAGAAAAAAAAAATGTTTATAAACTATATATCCCTTATAAAAGCTATTCTCTTAAACACAATTAACAATAACAAGCTAACTTCCAGTTAATTTTTCTGTTAGTGCATTAAATATTTCACATATATTTGAAGTTGGTATTATACTGTTGGTATTATGACTAACTGATTAGGGGTGGTAAAAAATGTTGGGCGATTATAACCTGTAAACTAACAGTTATGTTTAGCCCATGGTCTGCAATTTATTAAAATAATCTAATATAGAAAATACTAATCATAATTGTTTTGTTTCAAAATAAGTCTGCAAGACAGATTTCGTTTCCAAACATCCAAGTTGCAAATGAAACCTTTATTTTAAACAGAAAATTAAAGATCTATAGACTTCATGGTCAAATGGCTGTTATGGCTTCATGGTTGTCAGCAAGTTAAAAAGTTGAGAAGAATGAATCAAGAAGATGATATCTGCCTTAATTACTTCAAAAAATGTAAATGTCGCTAACTGAGTTGTTTCTTTTACAATAAAAAAACCCTGCTGTTTGTGACAAAGTATAACACTTGCAACAGGAGGAAACTCTCCTTCTTTTTCTCTGCTAAAGTATATAGAGAAAAATAACCAGTAATGCATACAAATTGTCAATTTTAGATTAAATTAAATTAAATTTATTAATATAATTTAATTAAAGATCATCGAAATCTGAAAAAACACAAAAAACAAACAGATTGTGATGATTTCCAATGGTCATGTTTGAAAATTATTATGTTGCTATTGTAATTGGCCAATGAATAAGAAAGTAACATAACATCTTTCAGGATATTTTTATACATGAAACAGTCCATTATTCCATTGATTCGATGTATTGGACCTAGACCGTTAGCAGAAAAACACCCCCAGACCATTACATTGCCTCCACCATGCTTCACGGTCTTATGGCAGTAACGTAAACCGAGGCGTTTTCCGGCCTGTCGACATACGCAAATGCCATCGCTCCCAATAATGTTGAACTTCAATTCATCACTGAACAGTACAGTTCGCCATTTCTGCACATTCCAGTCAATATGAGATGTAGCAAACAGGAACCTTTTCCTCTGGTTTTTTAGTGAAATCAGCGATGCAGGCAGCTATAATTGCTTTTGTATCTCGACTGATGATATCCAGGGACCCTTCTTGACGGATCTGATGATCATAGAATCCTCCCTAGAAGTGGTGGAACGTGGTCTTCCACCTTTGTTATCTGCTGCCAACTTCTTTGTAAAACGATATTTGGAACATAGTCTTGATACGGTCCATTTTTTCACGCAATATTTATCACAAATACTTTTTTGTGACATTCCACTTACGTAATCGCCAATAATTTTCTTTCTTAGTTCCAATCCAAGACTGTCGGGAGCCATTTTTGCACTTGAAGTCATAAAAATAATAAAAATAAATAATCACGCTTCTCAAGGCTTACTGTGTTACATTTACCTTGTGATGATACAATAATGAAAACGATGATACAATAATGAATAATAAGAACACATTGTGATGATAAAATAATGAATAATAAGAACACATTGTCTTGGTTGGATGTGGACTGCATTGATGTAATAAAACACTTGTTGTATTTCACTTCTTGTATTGATGTTCTTCGATAAAACACTTTGATAAAACTCACTTCAATAAACTGTCTTGACAATGCTGACTGATTGACTTCCATATACTGACTGAATTACATGTTGGTTTACATGTCTCTTATATAGTAAAATGAACCTGTTAACCTGTTCTGGAAGATTCTAAATGCTTCTTTTTAATGCTTCTGGAAGCTTCTGGATGCGTCTGGATGCTTCTGAATGTTTCTGGATGCTTCTGGATGCTTCCTCTGGATGCTTCTGGATGCTTCCTTCTCCTGTCAGCTGATTGCTCATGTCAAGGCATGCTTTGACTCCAGACCCCTGAACTGTTTGCTGTGGTAGTATAGTTCATTTCGTTTTTAAGACATGTAAAATTAGGAACACTTTTTAGCATTGTTTGATGTTAGTTGCAAATGTTTTGTCCAATACTGTATTTATAAAGTTCTATATAACTTAATAAATAGTTTTTGATAAACATTTTTTGAATGTCATATTATTAAGTTTCTTAAAATTTTACTAAAATAATGTCTTATTTTCCATTTAAAAATTCTAAAATTTTAAAATATAAATATAGCAAGGGATCACAAACTATAGTTTTAATAAATATACTTTCAAAGGATTACACTTATGACAATAATTATGACAATGAAACAGATAATGGCAGCAACAGTCACTTACATCTTACCTTAGCACAACCTTTCATAGCTTGTGCCATAGCATTGTTTGATCTCAAAGTCTAAAAAATATTATAATATTTATATATTAAAGTAATAACAAATGGTTTTACAAGAGAAATACTTAGTGAGATTTATAAGAAGTTAGTAACGGAATTAATTTTAGTTAAAATTTTAGTAAAAGTTAAAAAAAAAAAGGGTAAACTGAGCAGGGTAAACTGAATAGCCATAAACTTTGAATCCTTCTTAACTTTGGTAATTCCTTTACCTTAAAAATAAATTCCAAATTTCATTCTATAATTGTTAAATATATAAGATGTATTCTATAATTGTTTTATATATAAATTGTAAGTATAAATATTTTTAAGTTACACAATTATCATTCATATCTGGCATTAGTCCAGCTGTCTATTTGAATTTGAAAAAATTTGGTAATAAATTATTTGACAGGTCTCTAATAAAATGTTCCTCCCATGCTATAGCAAATATTTTTCCAATTAATAGATGCAAGATTCTTTTGAAACATTACAAACTTGATTTCTTTATTTATATTAAAAAATACATACTTTTTCTAACTCTTAAGAATAATGACTTACTTGCTTTATAAATACGAATAATGACTTACTTTCTAATGACTTACTTGCTTATCATCAATATGGATTTCAATCTTCTTGTTCTTTTGCTGATTTGTTAACGGTAATAACTGATAGGTTTTATTGTGCATTACATAGATGTGGAGAGGTAAAGGTTATCACTATTGACATTTCTAAAGCCTTTGGTAAAGTTTGGCATGCTGGTCTCCTCCACAAGCTCTGCAAGCTGGTCTCCTCCACAAGCTTTCTTCTCAGGTAAGATCTTCAAGATTATTAAATTCTTCCTTACCAATCGTAGAATAAAAGTTGTCCTCGATGAACAGCACTCTTTTTTTATTTCCTGTAATTTCAGGGGTTCATCAAAGTTCTATCCTTGGCCCTATATTTTTTAAATTTACATTAACAATCTTCATGAAATTCTCACATCTAAGATGGCATTGTTTACTGATGATACTACCATGCATTCTTGTCTTGATAAGAAAGCAACACTTTCAGATTGCTCGAGGGGTAATTTGAGCTTGACAACAATCTCACTTCTTGTGAGATTGTTTTTAAGCTAATTTGTTAACTTAATTTTTTTCTGCAAATCATAATCGCAACAATCTAGATCTTCCTATATTTATAAACAGTAATGTACTCAATGAGTCATCTACCCTGATTCTTCTAGAATTATTTATTACTTTCAATCTTTCTTGGAAACCATATATCAAATTAGCCTCTACTAAGTTTGCATATAACCATATATAAAATTAGCCTCTACAAAGTTTGCATCTCTTGATCGTGCTCATCACTTTCTTATTCCAGATTCTATTTATTATCTATATAAATCTCAAATCCGACCTTGTATGGAATACTGTTGTCATATCTGGGGCAGATCATCCTATAATGGTATTTTTCTTTTAGTCAAGGTGCAAAAACGCATTGTAAACATAGTTGAACCTGCTCTTGCAGCCAAACTCCAAGAAAAAAAAAAGAAACTAATAATAAATGTATTAAAGAAAACATGAAACCAGGGGTGCGGAGTCGTAAAAAAAAAGTAACGACTCCGACTCCAGTTGTTGAAATTTTTTGAGTACAACTCCGACTCCGACACCAACTCCAACTACAAAACAAAATTTTTGAAAAATTCTTTGAATTCTTTAAAAAATGTTGCCCGGTAAGTTGAAATTTTTTTTTTTTACAAATTTATGAAACATTCTTTGATGTTTAGTATGAACATAAGGTTAATTGAATGTTTTGTACATGCACGTGCAATACCAAGAAATTTTACTATTGGAGTCAGAGTCGCGATATTTTTTAGCGACTCCGACTCCGGTAAAATTGCTGCAACTCCGCAACTCCGACTCCACAGCCCTGCATGAAACAACTTCTTTTTTTCTTCACAGGTACAAAGTATCCAGGAAGGTAAAAAAATTCTTAAACATAAAGAAAAGTGTTTTCTAACTTTTTATGTTTAAAACTAATTCAAATAGTTGAATAATTTAGTTGAATAATAGTAATAATTGAAATTCTACAATAACTTCTATGATTAGTGTGATATTTAGAAATTCCACAATAACTTTGCTTCTGTGATTAGAGTGATGTTTTGAAATTTGTCTGTTTTGAGAAAATTATCTATTTGCATTCCATACTGAGATTTCAAAGAATATTATTAAAATGCTAGAATGTTTAAGAAGTTTCTATAATTTTCACGAACCATGTAGAAAATTCAAGAAACTTTTTGAACCTTCTGTTTTCGGAATATATAATAGTAGACAAGCAAGTTTAATATAAGTATAATAAAATATCACTGGTGACCAACATTCAAATTTAGGTTATTGCTTAAGAATGACAAATCAAAGTTAAACAGCAATTATAGTTTAATCAAAAAATATTTTTACTAAATGTGTAGATAAGTTATAGACAAGATCAAGAAAGTATTTAATAAAAGTATGTTGTAGGATATGCAAAGCCACAAGGTAAACTTTGGTATGTCTCTCTTGTGTCTTTTATGTTTTGTCTGACAAGATAAAACAACACATTTTATATGCAATTATTGAAAGAACCTTTTTGAAGGTAAGGTTAACATTTTCCAACTATTCATTTATCAAGATAGGCTGAGCTTCTGCAACAATGTGGCATTGATAATAACTGATGTCATTCACTTAGGTGAACAGGTGATACCTATCACCTGTTCACCTGAGCAAATGTCATCTAGTCATATAAGGCTGTGGCTCTTGACATTTCTAAAGCATTTGATAAAATTTAGCATGCTGGTCTTCTCTATAAGCTTTCTTCTTACAGTGTATCTGGAAACATCTTTAAGATTATTGAATCCTTCCTTTCCAATCGTAGTATAAAAGTTGTCCTTGATGGACAGCACTCTTATTCTGTAACCTCAGGGGTTACAGAATCCTTGGCCCTATACTCTTCTTAATTTACATTAATGATCTTACAGATATTCTCACAGCCAAGGTGGCATTGTTTGCCGCCGACACCACCATTTATTCTTACCATGATAAGACGCAAACTTCCTCTGGTTGCTTGGAGGGGGCATTTGAGCTTGAAAAGGATCTCACTTCTGCTACAGCATGGGGCTCACAGTGGCTGGTGAACTTTAATTCAGATAAAACTCAATTTTTTTCAGCCAATCATTATCGCAATAATTTAGATCTTCCTATATTTATAAACGGTAATGTACTCGATGAGTCATCTACCCTTCATCTTCTAGGATTAACTCTTACTTCTGATCTTTCTTGGAAACCATATATCAAATCCATTGCTCAACACTTTTTTACTCTGGATTCTATTCTCTATCTCTATAAATCTCAAATCCAGCCTTGTATGGAATACTGTGGCCATATCTGGGGCAGATCTTCTAATGATACCCTTTCTCTTTTAGACAAGGTGCAAAAACGCATTGTAAACATAGTTGGACCTGCTCTTGCAGCCAACTTTCAACCTTTATCACATCGTCGTAATGTTGCTTCTCTTTCTCTTTTCTACAAATACTATAATGGGTACTGCTCTAAAGAGCTAGCATCTCTTGTGCCATCTACTAAAATTCATTCTCGAGTTACTCCTCATTCAATTCTCATCCTTTTCCTGTTACTGTTCCTAAGTGCTCCAAAAACGCTTATTCCTCTAGTTTTTTTCCTCGAACATCAGTTCTTTGGATTTTGCTTCCTTCATCTTGCTTTCCTGATTCATATAATTTGCAATCTTTTAAGTCTTCTGTCAATTGTTATCTTGCTCTACAATCTTTATCTTTTCTCTTCCAGTAACTTCCAACACTAATTAGTGGCTGTTTGCAGCCTTGTTGGAAGCAAAGATAATTAAAGAAAAAAAAAAGAAGAGAGAAGAAAAAAAGAGAATTACAAGGTTTTATCTGACATTTTTAATGTTGTAAGAATTTAAATTTTTAAAAAAATTTTTAACTTCCAATATTTCATTGATAAAATGTTTTACTGCTGTTATACTTATAATCTATACACTTATGTTATTAATGATTTAGGGTTAAACCTATAATATTGTTTATATAATTTTCTAGCTGTTTGTTTTTGTTAATTTAAAACTTTAATTACTAAATTCTTAATATAAAAAAAGCAGATTAACACTATAATTTGTGTGCAACAATCTATTATTAAACAGTTTCAAAGCCTCAAAGCAATACTACTTCACAACAAAAACAACTTCAAAATTGTAATCATAATCGGCCTTCAAGAAAAGAGCATTGCCAAGTGGAAGCTGCTGATAGAACATAAGGTGTTGATGCCACCAATGCCTATCAAGTTAAGTCTAATCAAGCAACCCGTTACCACTCTTGACATCATTGAATCAGCAGCTTTTATGCACATACTAGATCTCTTTACAAAGCTATCCAAGATAAAATTCACAGTTAGTATGGTTTTTTTCATCAAATTGCTTATCAAGAATATCATAAAATATGTTGAATTCCCTAAACAGCTAAATGGAGATAATGATTTGATACAGTTGTTCATGGCTTATAGATAACCACAAGACTAAACATTAAACACAGTTGGTTCAGACTCATAATAACTTTTACCAAAATGGGATGAAGAATATCTCTCAAAGTCAATATCTTTAACACTTATCTTTAACAATTTAAAAACATGGAAGCTTACTTTCACCCAAATTTATTAGACATTATAATATAAATGTGATGAAAGACTATATTTGGGGATATGAAATTGATTTGCAGTAAATTAGCAAACTCAGAAAACAAACTCATTTCAAACAAATAGATTAAGACTTGTATACTTATTATGCAAGTTTTTTTTTAAACCAAACTACATGAACATAATAACAAATTTGTTCATGTATTCCTGGCTTCCAATTTAACACTTGGAAGCCAGGAACTAAAACTGTGCTAAATAGTGTAATCTTTCAAAACATTTTGTTAATAAAAGAAATTTTGCTCAAATTAAGAAAATAAGATAGCACTTTGCATGCATGAAAAACAATTTCTT